ATGCTGACTTATTCGAAACAACCTCTGCTAGGGATGCTGAGGCTCCTCCACCTTACAGGTGAAACACCCTGGAGAATCTGAGGCCGCAGGGTCACACAGCTAGGAAGCTACTCAGTTCCCACTCGGCTCGCAGACGCCCACGCCTGGCTGCACATCCTCCCCTCGCTCCCCTTCCTGGTCCTCCCTTTCTGGGGACACCCCCCGGGCTGCTTGCCTCTCCCTCCCTCCTTGGGCATCCTCTCTCAGCCGCTGGTCCCCTCTGGGATGGGCTGCATCATGCGCCCCTCCGCCCGGCTCTTTCTCTGTGCTCCCGACCCGCCAGGCCTGCAGCACACCCGCCCCTTCCTCTCCCCTGGCCGCAGCCTTCTCGCTGGACACCACGGGGCCGTGTGGGGCTGAGAGCTGGCTCCACCGGGGCGCCAGTTGTTCGGGCTCTAGGCGCACCCCATCGAGGGCTCAAGCACGGCCCAGATGGCCGAGACCTCCTGCGACTGGCCAAGCCTCCCCTCCCCAGCCCGGGATGGACCCACACCTCCAGGGCAGCTCTCCTGCCTGTCCACCAGCCGCTCCGAGCAGGGACGGCCCCAGCTTCTCCGTTCCTCAGCCCGGCTCCTCGGTCTCCACACGGGGAGAGAAGTCGGGGAAGAGCAAGGACTGCTGATCGTGAAACCAATTTCGGAGAGGCGGGGCAGAGGCAGGGGTCCCAAAAGAGGGCAGGGGTGTTTCCTTCTTGGTCCTGAACCATCTTGAGGGAGCGCCCCGCGGCTGCCACCCGGCCCCAAAAGGGAAACGGGGTGGCCGGCCTCACACGGGAGGCCCTGGGGACAGGCGGGGCGAGTCTCGCCAGGCCGCCCTCACTGGACACACAGAAAGCCTGGAAGGCAGAGCTGCTCGGGCCGGGACTGAGGAGTCCCGAGGCGCACACCAACTCGGGCGCCGGCGGCAGCTCTGTCGCTTGGTGGCAGCGAGCCTTCAGCCGACTTCTCAGCCCCTGCGTCTCCTCCGTGCGGCGGGCGCGCAACAGGGCCCGTCACCTCGGCGAGGCTCTCCGGGCCTCCG